AAGTTACGGCCAGGTGGCTCATGCCTGCTGTAATCCCAGCACTTTGGGAGGCTGAGGTGGGCTGATCATAAGGTCAGGAGTTCGAGACCAGCCTGGCCAATGTGGTGAAACTCTGTCTACTAAAAACACAAAATTAGCTGGGCATGGTGATGGGCACCTGTAGTCTCAGCTACTCAGGAGGCTGAGGCAGAAGAATCGCTTGAATCCGAGGTAGAGGTTGCACTGGGCGACAGAGCAAGACTCCGTCTCAAAAAAAATAAAAATAAAAATAAGTTACAAAGACAACAGAGCAGCGCTTTTATTATTAATTAATTCATTCATTCATTCACTGAGACGGGGTCTCACTCTGTCGCCCAGGCTAGAGTACAGTGATGCCATCAGGGCTCACTGCAGCCTTGACCTCTGGGGCTCAAGCAATCCTCCCACTTCAGCCTCCCAAGTAACTGGAACTACAAGTGTGCACTACCATGCTTGGCTAATTTTCACTTTTTTTTTAGTTTTTGTAGAGACAAGGTCTCACTGTGTTGCCCAGCTGGTATTCAACTCCTGCTCAAGTGATCCTCCTGCCTCAGCCTCCCAAAGTATTGAGATTACAGGCATGACCCACCACGCCCAGACTTTGAGCAGTACTTTTAATTGAGGAAAAAATTATTTCTATCGCAGAAGTCAATACCTGGGCAAATTACATATGAAGTGCGAGAATAAAAGAAAGACTTCTTTTTAGACTTGCAAGATCTCATTTATCCACCATGCAGTCTTTCTCAGGAAGCTGCTAGAAAATGTGCTCCATCAAAGTAATGAAATAAATTATGAAAACATAAAGACATAGGACCCAAGCAACAGGGACTACAACGTAAGAGGGAGGCAAGAGGAATATTAGATCCTAAGATGTACAGTTGGCCTTAAGAGCAACTAGTCCAGATTGAAAAAGGTAAGAAGACTCTAGGAAGGATTTCTTGAAAAAGATGAAATTAATAAAATATTTAATGTTGCAGGGCGCAGTGGCTCACACCTGTAATCCCAGTACTTTGGGAGGCTGAGGCGTGTAGATAACGAGGTCAGGAGTTTGAGACCAGCCTGGCCGATATGGTGAAATCCTGTCTATACTAAAAATACAAAAAAATTAGCCAGGCATGGTGGCGAATGCCTGTAGTCCCACCTACTGGGGAGCCTAAGGCAGAAGAATTGCTTGAACCTAGGAGGCAGGGGTTGCAGTGAGCCAAGATCACGCCACTGCACCCCAGCCTGGGCAACAGAGTGAAACTCCTTCTCCAAAAAAAAAATTTAATGTTTTGAATACACAGAGAGGAAATTACATAACCCATAGTTCCATAAGCAAATGAGCAAATTAAGACCCTTCACTTCAGAAAAAAAAAAAATATTATGCAGGAAAGAAAAAATATTCATAATGTACTCTATAACTCAGCCGTCAACAGCATTTTCCAAGTTATAACAATGTAAATAGAGAATTTGATTAAATTAAAGTGTTAATTTAAGTATGTTAAAGGAATTTATCCCAGGAATGTGAAGTTGGTTTAATATTTGAAAATCAATTAATAAGACCAGGCATGGTACCTCATGCCTGTAATGCCAGAACTTTGGGAGGTCAGGGAGGGTGGATCACCTGAAGTCAAGAGTCAGGACCAGCCTGGCTAACATGGTGAAACCCTGTCTCTACTAAAAATGCAAAAATTAGTGGGGTATGGTGGTGTGCACCTGTAGTCTCAGCTACTCGGGAGGCTGAGACAGGAGAGTCACTTGAACTTGGGAGGCGGAGGCTGCAGTGGCCACTATGGAGTCACTACACTCCAGCCTGGGCAAAAGAACAAGACTCCATTTCAAAAAAAAAAAAAAAGAAAATCAATTAATATGTCATATCAACAAAATAAAGAACAAATATCACATGATCATCTCAATAGACACAAAAAAGCATTTGACAAAATCTGACACCCCTTTATACTCTTTTAACCTCAAAGCCTTGCTTGTACTGTTCTGTTTCCCTAGAATGCTGTTCCTCACCACACTTCTCCATCTGGCTAACTCTAAAAAAATCCCAACCTTTTTTTTTTTTTGATCATAAGGTCAGGAGTTCGACAGCAGCCTGGCCAATATGGTGAAACCCTATCTCTACTAAAAATACAAAATTAGCCGGGCATGGTGGCACATGCCTGAAATCCCAGCTACTCAGGAGGCTGAGGCAGGAGAATTGCTTGAACCCAGGAGGCGGAGGTTGCGGTGAGCCAAGATTGCGCCATTGCACTCCAGTCTGGGCAACAAGAGCAAAACTCCATCTCAAAAACAAACAAACAAACAAACAAAATCAAATATATGATTAAAAAAGGATTCAACACACTCCAAAGTCAACTCCCTAACTGATGTTACCAATAAACGCAGGGATGCTAAGAATCAGAAGGCCCGCCGGGCGCAGTGGCTAATGCCTGCAATACCAGCACTTTGGGAGGCCGAGGCGGGCGGATCACGAGGTCAGGAGATCGAGACCATCCTGGCTAACACAGTGAAACCCCGTCTCTACTAAAAATAAAAACTAAAAATAAAAAAATTAGCCGGGCGTGGTGGCAGGTACCTGTAGTCCCAGCTACTCGGGAGGCTAAGGCAGGAGAATGGTGTGAACCTGGGAGACGGAGCTTGCAGTAAGCTGAGATTGCGCCACTGCACTCCAGCCTGGGCGACAGAGCAAGACTCCGTCTCAAAAAAAAGAAAAAAAAGATCAGAAGGCCCATATTATTCTGCATTAAATACAGACTCTACTACAAAGAAGAAAATACCATCATGTTATTAAGAAAGTGATACCCAATCCAATTAACCCAAAAAGATCTCTTTGGGATAAAGTAGCAACAAGAAATTGCTATTCTAATACCAAGTCCCAACTGTGTCAGACACCTACGACATTTGCGATGCCACAGTCTTCTTCATTCGTTCAGTTCTCTGTATCAGTCCCTCCTTTAAAAGAGATGATATGCGTGCATCACCCTCAGGAGGAATATAGGCATCAAATATACCAGCTGTAATAAGGGAACAAAAAAATTAAGAAAGTGTTGAAAGATTGAGAAAAACTCATAAAATTGAAGTAATGTACAATTGGGAAGGATTGTGGATATGAAGTAGACTAATGAAACAGACTTCCATGTAGACAGAACTATGTTACACTAGAAAAAAAACAGAACAAGGCTGGGCGCGGTGGCTCATGCCTGTAATCCCAGCACTTTGGGAGGCTGAGGTGGGCAGATCACAAGGTCAGGAGTTCAAGACCAGCCTGGCCAAGATGGTGAAACCCCTTCTCTACTAAAAATACAAAAACTAGCCAGGTACGGTGGCAGGTGCCTATAATCCCAGCTACTTGGAAGGCTGAGGTAGGAGAATCACCTGAACCTGGGGGGCAGAGGTTGCAGTGAGCTGAGATTGTGCCACTGGGTGACAGAATAAGACTCTGTCTCAAAAAAAAAACAAAAACAAAAACAAAAAACAAAACAAAAAAAGCCAGAAAGATTTAAGTCTTCTCTCAGAGCCTCAGCTTCTACTTCCACAAAATGGGGAAATTTCACTCTTGCCTTCTACAGACAGTGTGAAAGTAAGTTCAAAGAACAACTTCATGATATACAGTGTATTTAAGGCTAATCATTATTGAAGTTGAACTGACTTCATGCTTAATTAAATATCATCAATCATAGTCTAAGTCATCCCAAGTTCCAGAAGATCTCTGACAGAAGGATCCCAGGTCAGGGTCCCAGAAATACCTCACCTGTACAGGCCAGATGTATGGGATGGTCCAATTTTTCTGGAGGAATAACCAATCCTGCTTTCCGGGCATGTTCCATAAACTCTTCTTCTGTTTTAAATTTAGGTTGATAAACAGGAGGTGTGAAACGTTTTTTAGTTCTTACTGGAACTATAGCTGAGGACTGAGTCACCAGAACTGGCTGGAAGGTAAAGGAAAGGTTAGGAACCTAGAAAAAACATCTACTATCTTTTACAAACTCTAAGCAAAGCACTATAGAAAGGGCATATCCAAAGAATGCTTCAGGAACAATTATAAAACAATGAAAAATTGCATTAGGACCTTAATACTTATGGGTGTCTCTAAATAGAAGACAGTTGGCAACCTTTATTAACATCACATTTACTAAAGGCTTTCCTTTAGAACTTTCCACAGTACAGGACTATGCTAACTCTACGGATACTGAGTTGATTAAAGCAAGTTTCAAAGAACTGATGGTGATAGGGAAACACCAACCCAATACTGAAATGAGCAGAATACTATTCTTTATTACTTTATTTTTATTTTTTGAGACAGATCGCTAGCCTGGAGTGCAGTTGCACGATCACGGCTCACTGCAGCCTTGGCCTCCTGGGCTCTAGCTATCCTCCCACCGCAGCCTCCCAAGTAGCTGGGACTACAGGAGTGCGCCATCGCACTCGACTAATTTAAACATTTTTGTAAAGACGGGTTCTTACTATGTTGCCCAGGCTCATTTCGAACTCCCGGGCTCAAGCCATCCTTCTGCCTCGGACTTCCAAGTGCTGGGATTACAAGTGTGAACCACCGCGCCTGGCCCTGAATGCTATTCTTAAACCATAAGGAAAGTCCTCTTGTAGGCATCTGCTCCATATTTACTCGAGATATTTTGCTCATTCTATCGGGAGTCTCACTGGTAAACTTTATTCTGTCGTTTTAGCACCCAACTGACCAATAAACACTTGAAAGACCAGGGAGCCTTTTCTCTCTGATCATGAGGTTTGCTCAGACAGGGGCAGTGACAATATGGGACGCCCTCATTTTCGGCTAGTCTTCAACGTAGTTCATTTATAAGAATCGAAGATTACGAAGTCCACCTTCCAACCCATTACTTGTCTCCCCTTTAACATCTCCTCGCCAGACAGACCCAAATCAGTCCGGAAAAACTTAATCCCCGTTAATTCACTCGCTTTCACGGCCTTGTCTAGGCTCTGCCCATTCGACCACTGAGCTCAGTAGCTGGGTCCTGTCCACCTCAGCCTCTTCCACGGCCTAGGTATGACTCGTATTGTCCCAGCTCACCAAGGACAATTGCACAGAGAGTATTTCCCTCGACTCTGTCCTCCTCTTCTAGCCCCTAGGGTCCTATCGACCCCGTCCCTACCCACCTGCCGAGACCACCAGCCCAAAACCCTCGATAAACGAGACAACCCTTGAGGTATGGAGGCTGCCATCTTGTTCCCGCAAAGGCCGCCGGGAAGGGAGCTGTGAGTGAAGAGCGTCGGGTACGAGTGAAGCCGCATAGGGTGGAGCTAGCACAGGAGTGGAATTTTCCAGGGAGCGCGCCCTCCGCCGAAATGTGAGCAGCGAGGACGCGCACGTGCTCGCGGGAGTGGGGGAGGGTGGAGAAGGGAGGGTGGAGTACGGCCGCGCGTGCGCAGGGAGACGACGTTGGGCGTAGGGTGGAACGCACGGTTGTCACGCGCCAGCAAGAGAGCGCTGGAACGCGAGCTGCGCCTGCGCGCGAGGCTTTCTGGCTGCCGGGGAATAGGCATTTCTGTATGCTTGGCACATTGCTGTTTATACCATTCTTTAAAAAAGGAAAGGGAGGCCAGAAGCGGTAGCTCACACCTGTAATCCCAGCACTTTGGGAGGCCGAGGCGTGTGGATCACCTGAAGTCAGGAGTTCCAGACCAGCCTGGCCAACATGGCGAAACCCCGTCTCTACTAAAATTACAAAAATTAGCCAGATGTGGTGGCACGCGCCTGTAGTCCCAGCTGCTCGTGAGACTGAGGCAGGAGAATCGCTTGAACCCAGGTGGCAGAGGTTGCAGTGAGCCAAGATCGCGCCACTGACTCCAGCCACAGCTAGACTCCGTCTCAAAAAAAAAAAAAAAAGAAAAAGAAAAATTAGCTGGGCTTGGTGGCGGGCGGCTGTAGTCCGAGCTGCTTGGGAGGCTAAGGCAGGAGAATCCCTCGAACACAGGAGGCAGAGGCTGCAGTGATCCGAGATCGCGCCACTGCACTCCAGCCTGGGTGACAGAGAAAAACTTTATCACAAAAAACAACAACAACAAAAAATGACTGCTATGTTTACTAAAGTAGAAGACACGTGAATTGACAAAAACATTTGTGATTTGTCATTTCGGAAAAGAGTCACAGAGCAATTACGTAATTTACTTAAGATTAGATAGATAATAACTGGCACAACTGAGATTCGAATCTAAGCAGTCTAATCCAGAACCCATGCAGGTAACTGCTACGTGCTGCTTCACGTTCAGTTGTTAAAGGATTCGTGATGTTGGGATCATCCTGGTAAACTCAGTAGTGTAAACGTTGCTGAAAGGCAGACACTTTCCACAACTTAACCGTTGGTTATTATTCTGCCAATTAGAGCTTACAGAGCTCTTATCTACAATATTTTGCGGTAAGTTGGGAGCTACAGGCTGTACATACAAGAAATTTCAGGCTGAAGTAGAATTGCTACAAAGCAAAGTGCTGGGGACTATCAGAGGAACTGAAGATTGCTTTTGGGTTTGGAGATCATGTGGTGGTGGTGTTGTTGTTGTTGTTGTTTTGGAGATGGAGTCTCGCTCTCTCACCCAGGCTGGAGTGCAGTGGCACAATCTCGGCTCACTGCAACCTCCGCCTCCCAGGTTCAAGTGATTCTCCTGCCTCGGCCTCCAGAGTAACTGGGATTACAGGTGCATGCCGCCATGCCCGGCTAATTTTTTCTATTTTGGTAGAGATGAGGTTTCACCGTGTTGTCCAGGCTGGTCTCAAACTCCTGAGTTTAGGCAACCTGCTGACCTCAGCCTCCCAAAGTGCAGGGATTACAGGCATGTTTTAAAGCTTGACTTCTCCTTTATATTGTACATTCTTCCATGGTAAGAATTTCCCTACAAGTTCTAGCCACAGTATTGAACCTATAGCACAACACATTAATAGTGACATGAAATTAGGTGCTGTATGTGTGTGTTGAAGAGTATGTGGGGCCGTGTGGGGTGGCTCATGCTTGTAATCCCAGCATTTCAAGAGGCGGAGGTGGGTTAGATCCCTTGAGCCCAGGAGTTCGAGACCAGCCTGCCCAACATGGCAAAACCCCATCTCCACAAAAAATAAAAAAATTAGCTGGGCATGGTGGCCCCAGCTACTGGGGAGGCTGAGGCGGGAGGATGGCTTAAGCCCAGGAGGTGGAGGTTGCAGTGAGCCAAGATCCCACCACCGCACTCCAGCCTGGGCAACAGAGCCATTCAGTGCCTACAGAAGCATAGGGAGACAAGACAAAAATAGAATATATAAGCATTTAAATAAGCTATATCTGATTATTTAACAGACTCCTGTCCATCTACTCTAATCCCTAGAAAATAAAACATTAATTTTTTTTTTTTTTTTTGAGACACAGTTTTGCTCTTGTTGCCCAGGATGGAGCGCAGGAGCACAATCTAGGCTCACTGCAACCTCCGTCTCTTGGGTTCAAGCAATTCTGCTGCCTCAGCCTCCCAAGTAACTGGGATTACAGACGCCCACCACCATGCCTGGCTAATTTTTGTATTTTTAGTAGAGATGGGGGGTTTCACCATGTTGGCCAGGATGATCTCAAACTCCTGACCTCAGGTGATCTGCACGCCTCGGCCTCTCAAAGTGCTGGGATTACAGGGGTGAGCCACCATGCCCGGCCAAAACATGAGCTATTTTTACTTGTATTCCCCACCAAAGTGAGGAAACGTTACTCCATGGATGAGAGGTTGTTTTGGTTTTTTTTTTTTTTCCTTTTTAGATGGAGTTTCACTTTTATCATCCAGGCTGGAGTGCAATAGCTCGATCTCAGCTCACTGTGACCTCTGCCCTCTGGGTTCAAGTGATTCTCCTGCCTCAGTCTCCCTAGTAGCTGGGATTACAGGCACCTGCCACTATGCCCGTCTAATTTTTGTATTTTTAGTAGAGACGAGGTTTCACCACGTCACCAGGCTGGTCTCGAACTCCTGACCTCAGGTGATCCACCTGCCTCAGCCTCCCAAAGTGCTGGGATTACAGGTGTGAGCCCCCGTGCCTGGCCGAGATTATTGATTAATGCAGAGCATTAATATAACTTATCTTAGATTACTTGCTCCACCATTGAGTTTTATGTTAGCCTCACACAGTAACCAACACATCCCAGATCATCTCTGCCCACCCTCTGATCAGTTTCTCAGTTAATACAAACTTGTTCCATATCAGCCTGGATGAAATAATAATAGGGGAGTCAATATTATTTAATTGCTAAGAGATGAGCTATAAGTGAGTTTTGTTGTTGCTTGATTAGCTACTGTTTTGGTAAATTCATATCTTCCTACCTCATCAGCTTCATGGAAAATTGGGAGCTGGGGGCTTGGGGGGACAGTGGCTCACGCCTGTAATCCCAACACTTTGGGAGGCCGAGGCAGGCAGATCACCTGAGGTCAGGAGCTCGAGACCAACCTGACCAACATGGAGAAACCCAGTCTCTACTAAAGATACAAAAATTTAGCCGGGCATGGTGGCGGGCACCTGTAATCCCAGCTCCTCGGGAGGCTGAGGCAGGAGATTTGCTTGAACCCAGGAGGTAGAGGTTGCGGTGAGCCGAGATCATGCCATTACACTCACAAGAGCAAAACTCTGTCTAAAAAAAAAAAAAAAAAGAAAAGAAAAGGAAAAGAAAGAAAAGGAAATTGGGAGTTGTCTGCTAGAGAAGTAACACCAAAAGGATATTTCTTTTTTTTTTTTTTTTTTTTTTGAGATGAAGTTTCACTCTGTTGCTCAGGCTGGAGTACAGTGGGATGATCTCAGCTCACTGCAGCATCGGCCTCCCAGGTTCAAGTGATTCTCCTACCTCAGCCTCCCAAGTAGCTGGGATTACAGGTGCCCGCCACCAAGCCTGGCTAATTTTCTCTATTTTTAGTAAAGATGGGGTTTCACTATGTTGGTCAGGCTGGTCTCGAACTCCTGACCTCAAGTGATCCACCTGCCCTGTCTTCCTAAAGTTCTGGGATTACAGGCGTGAGCCACCATGCCCAACCAAAAAGGGTATTTCTTAATCCTACAATCTTGGTAGTTCACATTTCAGAAAAAGCAAGATAAAAAGATCTTGTCATGATGATGGGAGCAAGAGAAGAGAACTCATTGTCCAAGTAGAGGAAGGAATCGATTGTTAGGGGCTCAGTCTTGCAAAGAACAGTCTTGCACATAGTAGACACTCAAATATTTATTTATACAATAAGTAGATGCGAAGAATCCCAGTTAAAATACGATGAGACAGAAGGAAAAGTTGATTTCCTGTTTTTCCCAGTAAAGCGGGTTACTGGAATCCCTTGTTGTCCTACTGAAATTTCTAAATGGAGCCCAAAGAGGGCTGGGTGTGGTGGCTCACGCCTCTAATCCCAGCACTTTTGGAGGCTGAGGCAGGCGGATTGCTTGAGGCCAGGAGTTTGAGACCAGCCTAGCCAACATGGTGAAACCCCATCTCTACTAAAATTACAAAAATTAGCCAGGCGTGGTGGCATGAACCTGTAGTCCCAGCTTCTTGGGAGGCTGAGGCATGAGAATCGTTTGAACCCGGGAGACAGAGGCTGCAATGAGCCAAGATTGTGCCACTGCATTCCAGCCTGGGTGACAGAGTGAGACTCTATCTCAAAAAATAAATAAGTAAAATAAACGGAGCCCAAAGAGGATGAGACTCTCCCCATGTAAGCAGTGGAGCACATACTTACATCACTTACATTTTTTCCCCTCCCAGTGGCAGATGACATCAGAGATTGAAATTTACGAAATTTTGCATAGTAACCTACTTTCTAGGAGAAGCACAGCTGATTTGAACCAGGAAAATTATTCTGGAGAATTGGGAAGGATCCAATTCTAAACAATTGGGAAGGATCCAATTCTAAACAATATGATACTTGAATTTAAGCAAGTACTAGGCTTGCCATGTGTTTACACTGAACTTCCCTTCCCTAAAGTTAGACTATGGACAGCAAAATAAGTGAATTGTCCGAAATAAGGTGGCGTAGAAGAAACAAGGATCCTGACTTCTTGAGAAATATTCTCAACTGAGCTTTAGTTAGTTAATTAGTTAGCTAGAGATGGGGTCTCACTTTGTCAGCCAGGCTGGGGTGTTGTGGTACCATCATAGCTCACTGCCACCTCAAATTCCTGGGCTCAAGGGATCCTCTTGCTTCAGTCTCCCTAGTAGCTGGGACTACAAGAACATGCCACCATATCCAGCTTTTTTTTTTTTTTTTTTTTTTTTTTTTTTTTTTAATTGTAGAGACAAGGTCTTGCCATTTTGCCCAGGCTGTTCTCAAACTCCTGGGCTCAAGCAATCCTCCCCACTCAGTATCCCAAAGTGTGATACTGGCGTGAGCCCACATGCTCGGCTTC